TAGTGTGGTTTAATGTACATTTGATAAACGAAGCGACTGTGTTTTGTCTTTTCACAACTCTCATAACAAAACTCTGCTTTTTAAGGCAAACGGTATACGTTCGTGGACTACAGTTGGTATGCATATGGTATGAATGTTTGGAACGTTTTCTGATCTTTAAAGAAAACTAGTTTTCCCCCTGCCCCAAGGACATCGCACAGTCCCATAAACAGCCTCCAACCCGATTGTCGACAGCTGCTTTTTTAATGGTCATATGCTAATTTTGTTTGTGATAATTCCCCGTCACTCACAGTTAGTTTTTTCTGTCAGATTGACAACAGGAAGGAGCAGCTCTCCTTAGCAAAAAAAGAGCTGAAGCAGGCGAAAAAAGATGCAAAGGACCACGCAGATGACAAGCTCTTAGCGTGAGTGTTAGTGGGCCACTGTGGGGTTGTGGACAGTTTTGTTTGGGTTGTGATGGATGGGTGACTTGCCATTGATTGTGAAGAAAAGGCTTGACATATTTTTTCCTTTTCCTGAGCCATGCTGAAAATTACTTTAAGCCATTAAAAATCTTTACAATTGTTGATTTGGCTCCATTGTTTGAATTGCAGTGCTCTGGGATTTTTAAATGAAAATTTAGATTTTAAGTGCTTCAGAAAAGACCTTGGTTTTAATCTGAAATGTTTTTATGCTCCATGCAAAAGAGACAGTAGATAAATGTCCTTGGAAAATGAAGTGTTTTTTTTCTCAATTTGTTCACAATATGAATAATTGCAGTTGCATTTCGCTCCAAATGCTGAATCGTACTGCTAACTGCCAGTTAACATCTGTGAAGCAGATGACTCCTGAATAACAGGTTTATCTTCAATTATTTGTGGCTTCATAAGATCTTTATAATGATCATAAATTAAACTGTGCTGTATAATTTTAACCAAGGGTGCAATGCTGTGGTCATTAAGGAGACCTCCATTATTGTGTGCTGTAATTACTAAATTCAGCAGTTTAATAAACCTAATGAATATATTTATAATTTTCCTAGGCGTCAGAAAACCACAACAGATCGAGATTATCAAAGCTTGCAGCTGTATGGCATTGCTTTACAGTAACAGACCTAGTAG